AAATACGATGGAAGATTAACCATGTTAGCAACCACTTATAACGTGTACAATCTAATGATAGTTTGCCGAGTTCAAATCTGTATAGCGTAAACTTATATTCACACTAATTGAATAATGACAGAACTTGATTTCGTGAAACATTTTGGGGTCATAAAAAGAATAAATTTCCTGAAAACACAAACCCTTTTCGATAGGAAATAATTACATTTAGTACGATTGTAGTGGCAGTTTAAACAAAGAAATTAAGCTGTTCATTTCACAAAATTAGATTTCACTGAAACAAACTTAAAATGTTATCGTCAGCTGCTACACGTTTTCAAAATTAAAATTCCACTTATAAAATTACCTTTCTTTAAAAAATATCATTCTTGCAACAGAAAAATAGTGCAAATCCGTCCAGTGGTCGATTCAGAATCATCGATTAGAAAACTCGTTCCACGTTTAATATACAGAGGCAAAAGGTCCAAGTTAAATATTTTAAAAAATAATACAGATGAGCTACAAACCTTCGCACAAAGTTACTGGCAGTTAAAATCGTTTTAACACATTATTCAGCGATACGCTACCTCCTCAGGGGGACGGCCCTGAAAAATCTAAAATCTCTCTAAAATCTCGGTCAGAAAATCTAAAATGTGAGCATAGTTTGATATGCACATCAAATTAAAGCTCTTTCTTAGTAAAATCTAATACACACTAATACACAGAAAAATACAATGCTGCAAACCCAACCCAAAAGGACCACCGTGTAAAAATGACAGCTCTTCGAAGGTTGGGGCTATTTGAATCAACAATTCCGTTTTGTCTCAGTTGTTATTTTGAGTTCAATTTTGCGGCATTGTATTCGCCCAAAAAGACTTTATGCTTAAAGCTTACATTTATGATTTTCTGCAGACTTCTATCGGGCGCGTCCCTGTGTAGATGGCTTATAAGTAATAGCTTTGTAAATTCAAGAAATATTTGAGCGGCTGTCATTTTTGACTCGGTTGTCCGTTTGAGTTTGGGTTTGCGGCATTTACAATTAGTTATAGAAATTATAAATTTTAAATGTATTATCAGGAAACTGCTCGACATAGCATCATAGAAAAACTTCCAGTCCATGTTACGAAAAATATAATCCAGTGGTTCAGAACAGTTAAATATAAAAATATGTAATTCAATCTTATAACTAATAATAACTAACAACAATAACTTTTACTGTTTAAGTACTCAGAAGTGCTGTGATATTTCCCCTTAGCAAAAATAATTTTAGTGATTTTCCGAAGGTTCCAATATCCAACAAAAAGTGTTGTTTGGGAAAAGCTATATTGTACGCTTAGTTGATAAGCATTGCAGATTACATCAATTATATAAAAGGATTGATTTGTTCAAAAAATAAAATTTGCATTCATTAAAAGAGGCATTCAAAAATATAAATACTCGGAAAAGTCAGAAGATTATTTCGGTAGATGACACCTCTGCAGGGTCCCATTCTCAGATCAAATAAAAATACAGTTTGTCTAATATAAATGTGAAAGTCTGTGTGTTTGTTTGTTTAAAGTTCAATCAGGCATTAACTATTGGTCGGATTGCGTTGAAATTTGGTATGATTATAACTCACATTCCCGATTAACATATAGACATATTATTATCTCAAAAATCATTTCGGGCTCTGCCCCAGTGGCTGTGGAGTTTCACATTTTAACCTTATGAGTATTCATTTAAAAGCAATTAAATAATTTTGTCAGCTGTTTAGCATTAACAAGTTATAAGGTTTACCAACCAGTTGCAGCACTATTAATTCTTTTTGCATTTATGACAACAGCTAATTTGAACCAAGGAGCAACAAAAAGCTGTGATACACAATGAGAACTTGACTTTATTCTATTGTTTAGGTGCAGTGTTAGAACATTATGGCTATGGTAGATGTGCTATACTATAGTACATATACCGTAAACTAAAAGAACAAGATTTTCTTAAACCGTTTCCTCTCCCATTACTGCAATAAGCATTTTATAAACTTTTACTCCAACCCCATACGAAGGACGGGTACTCTGCTAGTTAACCTTAAAATAACTATTGAGCTATATGGTAATAACATTTGATGAATTAATCAATGAACAAAGCCCACCGTATGTCCATGACTTGTTTGCAAAAAACTCACAGACACCCACAGTACCATTAGGCATTAGTAATTTTGGAAGTTTTTTTTAATAACAGGGGTTGAGTGACTTTTCATATAGTTTGATAATTCATTGAAAAACTACATGTTTTTGTGGTTGCTGAATGTTTTGGTATTTCACAGTATATATTAGCACAGTCTGGAGCTTAAAAAATATAAATGTTTTAAAAGGATGTTTCAAGGATGTTTATGCAAGAAAAATACCAAATATTTGAAGATTGAAAAAAAAACCCCTTCGCAGGAAGTTTACTCAATCCAAATACTAGTCTCAGAGAGTTTTCCTGAGTTTTTGTCCAATTATTGGTCTATTATTTAAAATTTGTCTTTGTTTTGGATTATTCAGCACCTCATATTGGGACCAAATAGGTCATATTAAATAAAATCAGGCAAAGTAAAAGGCAAGAAAAATATTACAGTCAGTAAAATACACATACCTGCAATGGATTAATAAGCCATTGATTATCTTGATACAGACTTCACTTTGTCTATGTGCTCAAAATAAAGTTGTGAGTCTATGAAAGTTGGTTTGATGACATGAATCGAGTTTACTATCACCGAGAATAATGAAGATTTCATTGTTACTTGTGAGCGTGAAGTCAATAAAATTTGCATTATAGACAGATAATTTTCAGTCAATCAAGCAAGAAACTACTTTGGGTGAGCGCGATTTCAAGATTCAATCGTTCATTATCTTTGAAGCAATTTTGAAGAAGTTTCTTAGAATTAAGACTCATTTGGTGCGATTTCGAAAATATTTTCTTGCCACTTCGCAAAAACATGAGTTGTACATTTGCATTAAATGATTTTAGGATACTTAATCTAGAGTTGTATATTCGTGCTTCTCATGCTATTCATGTGGGGTAATTTGGTTTTTGCCGAAACGAGTAAAATTGTAATTAATTTCCACTTTTCGAACAACTAGTGACTGTAACAATCAAAAGTGTATTATTTTTTACAATCAATATTGTGTATTAACTTAATGTTGTCTGACATGACTATCCTGGTCTGATCTGGAGGAATTAATTAGTTATTCTTAGGTCTATAAAATTTTTTAATATTATCTGTATTTTGTACCGTAGTTTAAGGACAAAATGTTCCTATACCCCGTGGCCTAGTACAGGTAATGCTACTGGAGTGTAAAATTGATTTAGCTATTGATATAATAAATTATCTTCTTAAAAATGCAGTGATTATATAGAATCGTAAATGAAAATTACTCTTCACCGCAAAATAGATTCATGACAACAGATTTAACCGTTAATCCGTGTTCAATAGCCGTATCGTATAAATTTGGCTTCTAAAGGTAAAAAAGTTCATGATATAAAAGATAACTAGAGCTCATTATTAGTAATTTTTTATATCATACCATGTCTTTTTACCATGCATGCTTTGTAATTTTCAATGTTACTCTGTAAACTTGTTGTAACATGTTACTGTTTGCAAGTTTCTTATATTGTACTGTAGACTTGTATCATATATCCCTGCTGCAAATACAGATTGTCACTTTTATCAACTCGTGATTTTCCTACTTTTCATAAATACTTTCATTAAAATCTGTTTAATGACAGAAAAAGACGACATGCAATTGGCAGAGAAAACATTTACAACAGGGAATTGACGTCAGATAAAAAAATCTACAAAAGCAAAATGTACGGAATAAAAGGCAGGTATATACTATACACTGACTGCGAATTCATTGTCTAATCATTAACCCCGCAAGTTATATAATAAACACAAATAAAGTAGTAGGCCTAATTTAGCCTACATCAATGCGATTAACGGGTACTGGACATTTCTAGTTAAATTAAATGTATTTTAAATATATTTTGGAAACAATAACTCGCGACATATGATTTCCGATTTTGAGTTCCGGATCACGTGGAGTATTTAATATTTATAGCGGGGGTTTAATGATTTTTGATTGATTAAAACAATTAATTTTAAAATGTTTCGTTTTCGCTTAGCTTATTATGATCAAAATTAACATAATTGTTTTATCTCTCAACATTATGTAAATTAACCGATTATTTGTATACTTGAATTCGTCATCTTTGATAAAGCTAGTTTGATGGATTGCGTTATAAAATAATTGATAATCGACCTGATTGAAACTACGAAACAATAAAATTTATCTACTATTTGTGTTATTTTGGTTATAATACAATTCTATTCTTTTTTAACTGTTTATAAAGACTAACCTATTGTTAGTCTACATTCGCTCAGGTTTACTTTAGTTTGTTTTCAAGTCAATCCTATTAATTCATTAAGACAAAGTCCCATTGCATGTTTGGCTTGACCTTTACTTATAGTCATCTTGGAAATGAATTGTTTAATGGAAATCGCAAATTCCTTTTTGACGAGGAGAAATTAAAATTACCCTCCTACTTTTGATCTGCATAAATATTGTAACGAATTTAAATGAACATGTATTTTGTCTACTGTTGTATTTACTGTGTATACTGTTGTATGTATTTTATCTACTGTTGGTGCAGTTTTTTGAGTACAAGAACCGTTTTATAAATTCAAGATTATAATTTGGTTAGAGTTTTGATATTTTAGCGAAATGGAATTCAAAATACAACTCACATACATACATAAAGTTTTCAAATATTTGCACTTTTGGTTGAGGTCCGCTGAAGGAGGAATTTTCTTAATATTACTGATTAGTAGCTTAATTGTTTTCACAATTTAGTAGAGTTCCCCAAAGTGTGAAAACAACCCGCTGAAATACAAAGTAAATACAAATGTTGATGTGAACAATGTAAAAATACTTTGTCAGTCTTCCTGTAAAATATTTACATGTTAAGTATATATAATAAAATAAAATACATTAATCACTTACCGAACCCTGCATTAGATGAGAGACCATCACTCTCTGTGTGGTCGAAGTATCTTCTCTCACTTCACAATATCTTATTAGTTAAAATAGTTATAATTTAGGAATTAATATTTCAAGTCCTAGGCATGATCCTTAACTTCGTGCAAGAAAATGACACAATATCTAAGCACTCCCGTTGATGTTAATGATGTAAGGCTATAAACACAAACGTTATCACTATGTTGAACACAACTTACTGACGTTAAGAATTAACTAAAATTTTTAACAATATTGGTTGGTAAATGTGAGAAAATTGCTAACACCTAAAAACACTTTAAAGCACAAACTTTGAACGAACTTTAAACAAGTTGAAACTATCAATTTATAAATTAATAAGTTGAGAAAAATAATCGGAAATCGTATATCGGAATGTTTGTTGTTATAGATCTGTTAGTGATTAAATTGCCTAAACTTCTTCCAATTTCGAACGCGAAAGAGTTGGTTTTAGCGCTAATTTGTAATATTACATTTTTCGCACGCGCGGAAAAAAGTAAACAGCCACTTTACCTGTTCCGGAAGTGACCGAATTCGCACGATATTACACGATTGATCGCGGCAATCGCTGTGCGTTTGAATGTCCTAACATGACAACATTGCAAAGTCAACAAGTTCCACGGTTACACAATCGAAACAATAAAATCGGTAGTTGTGGCCTAGATTTGTGAGAAAAAAATCTAGGAACCGTGTTAATCGAAGGAAAAAATATTATTCGTAAATCGAGAACTGATTGTTAATAAAGAACCGATTATAGCTGTAACATAAAAGCTATTGATACAGAAAATACAGTTTTATCTGTCTTTCAGGAAAAAATCAACCTTTCGTTGAAAAATAAAATAAAATAGAAATAAAAATCACAAATCTAAACTCCCTTCAGACAAAAATAAAATAAAATTACGCAGAAATCCAACAGCACACAAAGTCACAACTCAAACCACGACACAAATAATTAATTGCGAAACTTTACGCACGGCGAATAAACAAACTCAACCGATAAAAGACAAATTTAGCACCGCTTGTTGACAAAGAAGCTTCGGAAATGTTGAGGAAATAGTGTCAAGCAGTGTTCAACATAGATAACTTTGTATACAAACACTGGGCCACAAATTAAGTACTTTAAAGAGCACTGTTAACACACTCACAGATGTCAAAATATACAGCACATAATCAGAGCAGGACTGTAAACATAGTGTGGCTAGGCTGCTGTGGCGAGGGTAGTGCGCATGCGTCGGACTTAGCCACGCCCCCCGCCTCCCATTGGTCCACGGCCGCCATCCCGCGACGCCATTGGCCCGCTGATTTATTTGTTGGGTAATTTTTTCGCGCAACGAGGTGTAAAGTAGGTCTCGCCCTTATTTTAACGGCGTGTTGCCGTTATGCCATCCGATATAGTGTTTTCCTAGAAGAGTTTCCGCCCTGTTTGAATTTGCGGTTAAATTTAGCCTTGTTGAGGTTTTATGGGGCATCGAAGAGTTTTTGTTTTGATACTGAAACATCGGTATAAAATGTATTTAAAGAATGAAACAGTCGTAGCGTGTTGTAGGCAAAATTGTTCACGTGTATGTTTATCAATTGCGCTGCTGTACTTTCTATATAATTTTGTATGATGATTTGTACAAAAATAGTGATGCAATTAGTAATTCAATCGATGGTTTTGTTGGTGTCAAGGGTTATTTATTTTAAAGATTTTCATCTATGAATCCATTATTTGTGGGTAATCTAAGACACAGATGATTGACTAAATGAAAAGTACTTTCAATCATTGTTGGAAATACCTTTTTACAGACAAAATGCGAAGGAATTCAAATACAAATTAACAACTAAATTGATAAATAATTACGTTCCAGCGCGAAAAATACACACAACCTTTATACAAGATTAGATTACTCTTAATGGTGTCAAATTAAACATTTGTTGTTAAATATTTTATGTAGGTGTACAGCTAGAGTAATTAATAAACACCAATAGATGCAATGACAGCGTATAGTAGACTAATAAAGTAATAGTGTACTACAGATACTCTTCACCGTGTTAATGATGCATATAGTTTTAAAATTAAAAATAATTTAATTAAACCGAATCACCGACAGAATTTGTTGCTGTAAAATACAATAATTGTATTTCTTATACACCATAATTTTAGCAATTTGAAACTAAAAACATGTAGTATAGCTTCTTTTATAATCCCATCAAATGTTATAGTTTGGAAAACAAAAAATTAGAAAAGAACATCAAATAGCACACTACGAGAAAAACTAGTTCACTATTGTTTGAGTAGAACATTGACCAGAGATGGATGTTTATTTTAATCCAAAGGCAATGTATTTTTCTTAGGGGTTATTTTATTAGAGCAGATGTATTGAGGCCTTTTACAATTTACACATTTTTTTTATCACACATAAGATGAGCTACTTCAGTACTACAGTTTAACTACAAAAATAACTCCATTCTTCCCAAGCCAGCGTCTTCTTCTCGGATCTCAACATTCTTGTGCATTTGACTTCATAATCTGTTCTTCAGATGTCCAGAAGGTTCTGGGTCCTTCTGGGAGAATCCTTCTATATCTTGTCTTAAAACAGCCCCACCCCTATCACACATCTAAATGATATTCATATGAGATCCCAGTCAATTTCATATGCCTGATTTTTGTTACAGCAACCGCGTATAGTGCTTGGAAAAGCTACCGGTCAATTATACATGATTCTTTATTGTCTTAAAAATTTGAAATTCCAAAGAAGAAAATATCTCACGGACACAAAGTGAATCGCTAATTCCACTAAAACTAGAAACTCAAATCAGAATAATCTTTTAAAGTTGTTGGACTATGGAATAGAATGATGATAAGTTGAAATCGATGGCCATTTCATAATCTTTAATTATATCTATATCCATCCATCATTGTCCATCTTGAACGTTTGCAGTTAAGGTAATGCTCGAGTAATGTAGGAATGCATTACTTATTAAAATATATCCTTATAAAAATAACTCTCAAATGGTATACCTTTTATACTTTAATCCGAAATGGCGACCATACAAAGATAGGTTTCTTAAGTCAAGTATGAATAGAAATGAGTGTAGGTTGAGTGGCGCGATCTTGTAGTCTTGTTGCTAAGGCCGACATATTCCTTAGACACAGCTGTTTAATTAATAGCCCATAGTCTACAGCCAATACAAGTGACCTACAGTTTATAGTGGAATCCGAACTATATTCTACGAATTGGTTTATTTATCAGAATTACAGCCTATTGCGGTAATAAGGAAGTTATTTATTTTAAGGAACTGACCTACCCCAAGCTTCTTGAAGCATGCAATGTTATCACTGGGTCAAATGAGGAAAAATAAACTCGAATTCAACCACGTGGTGAGAACTGGGGCAAGTTCGGGCCAGTTAAGTAGGTCTGGGGCGAGCTGACGGCATGACATCACGTGCTGACGGATTCAACCATCAGCAGTATGAACAATGGCTGGATCACGTGACTGGTGATTTAAATGTTTAAAGAGTTTTAGTAGGAAATTAAATGACCATGTCAGGTCTATTTGAACAAAATTTGATAGTTTTGTTTCCCACACTTATATAAGGTATTCAATAAATTTCTCATCAAGGTGAAAGGGTGTCCCAATGAAATACAGGATTTGACCCAGAGGACGGTATCCGGGTAACTGGTGTTATAAAAGTTCACCACTTAATTTAAATGTTACCGGTTCATTTCTGAGCAAAGTTAGTTGTTTTGATGGTTCCAAACTGGACCTAGCTGTTCTCAAAAATTTTAATAAATGAAATGTTCTTGGCTTAAGATTCAGTCAGTCTTTATCAGTATGTACAAAGCTAGCGAGGACTATCACTTAATCTACACTCATCCTTCATTAATTTTTGGGTTAAATACTCGCATTGTATCCCATTTGATTCCATCCGAATTTGATTTCTTTATACATTGGCAACTGGTCGCAAAGTTTGAACGTACGTATAAATTTGATGGAATGGACTATAATATTATTAACCGTGCCTTACCTAATCTAATAATACAGTTATTGCTAACGATCAACGAACGATTTTTCCGATTTTTGATTGACGCAATGATACGTCTGCAGGTTTGCTGCGACGGGCGTATTATCTTTTATTTCTTCTATACCTCATCACTCTATATATTATTTTTCATATTTTTGTATCCAGTCGTTACATATATTTCCAAAAGGGACAATTGACTAAAATTGTCTTGTAAGGGTGGGAATTATATCAAATAAAATCCCATCTCTTGTTAGTAGCATTCCCCCTCCAGTGATTAGTAAATACATTAATCCTACTTTATCAAATTTTTACTTAGATGGTTGCAAGTTAGGATAGATAAAACTTAAATAAACTCTTGTATACATTGAATAACAAATATTGTCATATTTACGACTGAAAACTGTTTAAGGTGTGAGCATCTTTTTTTAGAGGATGTTTTGTTGTTCAATATTTGTTTTTCGTATTGTTGAAAACTAAGCTCAATATCAAGATCTATTTGTAAACTATATCTTGTCTTCTGGTATTATAACCCATGTGTAAACCTCAAATTTTCAAACCTACCTTAAAGTCGGAATGAAACATAAAACAACATCCCACACATGTAACAACAATGTACAGAATTCACAATAATTCGGTGAGAATTCGACTTGTCAATAGTGCCATATCATTGTTAGTATCATTATCATTTGAGATGGGGAGTGAAACAAATGTTATCATACAGGATGTAACCATGCTTATAAAACAACTCAATATACAAAAGTTGTGATTGCAAGAACTAAGAGAACTTAAAAGAAATTGTTAGTGGAAAAATAAATGATGGCTCACAAATGCATGCTATTTCCAGGAGTGGGAGGAAAAATATCTAATTGTGTTTATGACCAAGGGGCGTAATTTTGTAAAACAATTTTATGGTGAAAACTACCATATGCAAGAATGTCCAGATATTTCTTTGCTTAATTACATTATTCAACCATGTATTTATTTATCGTTACTCTTAGTTCTTTCTTTGTCCAAGTTTTTCACATGTATACTTTATTCTTATTATTGTTACATTTGACATTCCTGACATTGTTATTATATATAGGCTATCTAGTCATAATGGGCAATTTACAACTCAATCAAACTGT